GGACCTCGACGACCAATCCAACGACCGGGGAAATTGTTATCTAAATCTTGCTGGAATACAATATCAGTATCCAATTCATTAGGATTCGGTTCGACGATTGCGGTGATTAGAGGGTCAATAGCATTTTACAGCATATCCAAATACAGTTCCCCGGTTAAAGTTTGTTCGATGAATAGAGGCTCCACAATATGATTTTCCAACATTCCAGTACAAACGTTAATTTTCTGTGGATATTGAGTATGTGTTTCCGGGAAGACGTGAGGATTGGTGTCTCTCCAATAACGACAATTTTTTTATGCACATTACCGTTGAGACAAAATGTACATTCATCACTAAAACAAATATTTTGGATATAGGTAGGATGCCGTGCAATGGTTTCCGTCATAGTCTCGCAGAATTCTGTTCTTCGATCAGGGTCATCCTCAGTTATCTGATGTACCATTTGAATTTTGTATGGGTGATACTTATTCTTTTTCAAAAGTCTCCATACAATAGAAGGACAAACCTCACATACATTCGCGATGGAGAAAATAGACTGTTGGGGATTTACTATGATCTCACCAATTATTTGAACTTGCTTTTCTTCCGGGATGGTCGGATGACCTTGGGGTTTTTTATTGTTTACACTACCAGAAGTTGTAAATTTAGATACAAGTTCGCTTGAATATTTTCTACAGATAGAACGATTCGGAAAACGATCATTAAAAATCGTTTCGGTCTCGTGAAAGTTACGCGTCGCACCATAAGTAAAAATCGCTACGATTTTTACTTCCAATGGACGAAAATTGACCATTTTAAAAGTAGTACAAACAGTATCTAGCACTAAAACCGAAAACTAAATAAGAATATTTTAACTGTACAATGACGTTCGTTTTCGTACTGATATTCTTGTCACTGTCAACAAAAAATATCAAAACAAGTATTTATCGCGGTTGCTGTGGATACGGAAGAGAATTAAAATTATTTGTAGAGATATGCGTGTTAGTGGGTTTGTGTTCAAGTAATTATTAAATGTACCACCATTTTGTAGTAGGTATAGTCTAGGGTTATAAAGTACTCGCCAGGAGCTTCAAAATGATGTGCCACAAGAACAACGTTTTCATATAATTTTATTTTCCAAGATGGCCCGCAGCGGCCATCTTGACATTTTCATCTGTCAATTTTACTCTAAAATATTATCCACGTATCAATTTCATTACCTCAAGCTTTAATTTTTTGAACTGATCCGTTCAAAAGGGTGTTGACAAAATATGTAGACAAACTTTAACCATCGAATCCTTGGTCAATTTGAAGACGAAATTTTCATAAGACCAAGGGCTTTGTTTTCAAGCTAGAGCATATTAGCACTAAAAGAAACGTTGATATTGTTCTAAAAAAGTATAAAAGAATGAACGTATTTTATTTTAATTAAGAATGCACTGTGGTGAGTATCAGATGATTTACACTTGCTTTCAGACCCTCCATGGTACGTAGATACGGATAATGTTATCCAGTATTTTTTGAAAAAGTAGCTTGTCATTGATTAGGTTTTGATCGCAATACCTTTAATATTTAAGTATTGTGCTTATCTAGACGCCTATGACGTACCCGAAAACAATTGAATTAACTTATTTTCTCAAATAATTCTAGAGCTGTGAAATATTTGTTGTCTTGTCTGGTCATTCTAAAACTCCGAATATTTAAAAATTTTGGTGATTACTAATAATTGTCATAATCCAATCAAGAAATGACAGATATGCATTTCGTTTACGGAATACCTCTGGGCAACGTTCATATTGAGCCTCAGCAACTTGTAAAACATGCAAAATTTTTCATAGGTTATACACAACTGTTCAATAAATACGTTTCATTATTTCAATATTTGGAACATTACTCGTATTTCTTTAGTGATAGTGCTCTATCTCAAAAAGAAAGCCGTTACGGACCCATGTTCGTATGAACATTTCTTCAAATTGACCAAGGATTCGATGGTTAAAGGATATCTACATAGTTTGTTAACACCCTATATATATATATATATATATATATATATAACAAATAGAAAAATAAAGGGCAAATTCCGTATACCTTTCTCCGCATGATCTCTTTCTCTTTTATATGTTTATATACAAACCGTCCATACAGAGGGGTATTTCTGGGGCAGCCGATCAGAACACTAAAAATATAAAATCAATCGTTAGAATTATTCGAGCACATCATACTAAGATAAATATAAATAAAATATGTGCTGAAAAGTGTGTATTCCGAAAATCTGATGATTTGAGTGTGACTTGAGGAAGTGGAAGAGTGTCTCTCTGCAAAAAAGCGTGACTGACATTCTAGAGCAAGGGCGATTTTTTTTAATTTCGAAGAAAGCATACAGGAATAACTCAGTACAAAATACGCTAAGATTACTTCATGTTTCTTTACTAATTTCTAGGATTTATAATTATATTAATAAATATACCATTGCGTTTAAAATTTTCGAAAAATCCAGATTAACGACGGTTTTGTCATTGAGCGCCACCTAACGGGCGAAATATGAACGAAACAAAAAGACAACATCCGTTAGGAGCATGCATTAAATCCCCTCTAAATGAAACCAAAAGTCCATGAAAATCGATAATGCCAATTAGAAGTTACACTACGTTCTCTCAAATGACATTTAACCCTTGATATTGCTTAAAACCATCGGCTTACGAAAAAATGATATCAACAAAAAAAGTTTGAAAACACGAATACTATCGAACAAAGCCTTTTAAATATATGTTAGTTATGAGTGTTTTCGAAAAAACGGAAGTTCTAATGTTGAAGTTAGAGCTACGGCCCCTAGAGATCATTCCAGGAAGCTGGAAATGCTTTCCAGCAACTTATCTTGACCACTCCCGTTATAAGATTTTTTAACGGATAACTCTAGGCTCAGCGGTTGCCGAGATACAGCCGGCGTCCTTTATTAATGGCCCACCCCAAACTGGCAGATTGTCATGCCTTCAATATAAAACACACGTGGCGCATATACCCAAGGAATATGTGACGCGTTCGAGTATTTCTTTGGAACTATTCTTTTACATTTTTGACAACCTGTAGACACTGCCCTACCACTAAAATGTTTTTTCTGCATGCAATCTAATCTTCAAAACTCAGTAGGTAACTAACGATGCTTGAGTAACTCCCCATTTAGCCTCTTGGGGTCCCCCACCGTCAGTACCTATTACTTAATACGTACCTACATTTGAACCTTCTCTGTAAAAGCAAACATTTGGACACTTGTGATGTTACATATTACTAGCAAAAAAAAACCAGCAATTATGCGCTCAGAAATAGCTTCCCCAGACAGACATTCTGTGGGGATGTTTCTTTTTGTGATGTTAATTTGGATAACCCTCTACAATAATTTACCAATCCCACCAACTCGTTTCATCCGTCCTGCGATGACCGCGCGCAGCGCCATCTTTCACCAACACGTGCAACCCACTTCTTGCGCCTGTCCGCAAAGACAGGGACAGCGACAGCAACACTGTCAGCCGCCAGTGCGCCTGCAATTCGATGTCAGATTTCGGTTCAGTTCGTAGTTGATTACAGGAGGATCGTTACGTCCTGTTTTCCTCGACGCGGACTCTCGTATTCGTTTTCGTGTGTGTGATGTTTTCCTGTATCGCATAAACACAGCACAATATTATGCTACATCGTCGCGGTGCTTCTTTCAAACGTAACGTTGACTCTGCTCTCTAATTCTGAATATTTGTGATTCAAAGTGTGGAAAGTGCAACCATAGAAAGTAGTTTTTGTGAGTTGTGTTTCGCAAGTCTCGTTGGCTGTAGGTGAGTAGGTACATGTTGCTTCATGCGTTCATTCATGAGTCCCACAACGGCACAGAGAATATGCAACAGAGTGCAGGTTATATTGACACACTTTTGTAAAAACGTTCATTCCAATAAGAATCTTTTATAAAATTCTCGTAGACTCAGTGATACAAGGACAAAAGTAGTATTTCGCACACCTTGTTAGTGGCAATGAACAATTTAAATTTTTTTGCGACCAAACCCATATTTATAAACAAATATGGACAGGAGCCTAGTAACACTTGTATCGTTCGGAGAAAATGTTCGATAAAATTACAGATAAATAAACCAGTTAAAACTGAGAATTGTAGTGCAACAGAACACACAGATAACATTAACCAAGAGTTGAAAACAAAAATTTCTCTGGATAATATTTCACTGTATTTTGCTATAGTCAACATTTAGTGTTTACTAATTTTATAGTTTATGTAATGTAATGATTAGAATATGGAAATATTACGTTTATAGACTTTAAATAAGTTACTTAAAATGATGGGGTAAGTTGGTCAGTGCCATTTAGATAGTGATAGATTATTACAACTGACAACAGTAGATTCGAAGCAGCTGTATCGGTATGCAACTACCAGCAGAGATACCCGCTGGAAAATTTCTTGGTAAATATCCAGTGATAGGGAAATTGTCTTATCTAAGAACGATTTTCCAATAAAATCTTTCAGCCTACATTGGAAACTAATTTTTCAACTAGATCCTCATAGGTATATGATGTGTATGTCGTAGCCAGATTATAAAACCTGTCGTTTTATAAAATGCCTAGTCGTTTCATAAACGGCGGCCCGATTGTCAAATATTAATTATCGATTCATTATTTTGCTGTCTGGCTAGTCATTTTAGAAAACGACTGGGTGTTTTATAAAATGACCGTGACTACTTGTCCAGATTGTCAAACGCTAGAAAGATATTCATCGTTTGACATTGTGGCGGGTGATGCATTTTAGTCTTTTAAAGAACGGCGGCCAGCATTAGCCAGATTCTCAAATTTGACCCATTTATTATTCTGGCCCGTACAAAGGTGTTTAGTGTCTGCACTGTCTGCTGATTCGCATATTTTTATGACATAATTTCAGTTTTGCCTGGTTTGTCAAGATTTAAACGGTAAAAAATATGGACCCTGTTAAAGTAGCAGCGGCGGGAGTAGATAAAAACTACTTTTATTTCCAGTTAGAAGAGTTTTATTTGAAGGTAAGTAATGAGACCTAACCAGTGGTCCATGTTCCAATAAATGAACATTTTGTTTATAAAACTTGTTTTGTTTTTTTATTTAAGTAAACTTATGTAAATTTACGTATATAAGAATGTTAAATGTTAGTTTAGTTTTGTATTTTTAGTATTTTTTGTTAATAAATAATAAATGTTCATTCATCTGTTTTATTCATAAAATAAAGCGTATTAAAACATTCCTTTAACTGTCTTATAGCTACGAGGACAATTTTGATACCTGCTGAATGCTGCCAAATATGTATGTTGGTATCAATATATTTTAAATACAATTCGTATTTTACAAACCGACTAAAGTACTTCACCCGCAAGAATGTTAAACGTTGAAAACATTACCGTTTGACATTCTGGCAAAGTAGTCACGGTCGTTTTATAAAATGTCTAGTCGTTTTATAAATTGGCTAACCAGATGGCAGAATAATGAATCATTGAATGAAAATTTGACAATCTGGCCGCCGTTTATGAAACGACTAGGCGTTTTATAAAACGACAGGTTTTATAATCTGGCTACGACATACACATCAACATACTGTTATTATGTGAAAAATTGGCCCCTTATAAAATTGTTTCCTGATATGTGCCTGAGACAAGCTACTACCTAGCCCGTTACTGTTTAACAATCAAACTATCTATCTCAAATGAAAAGAATTTAGTCATAGTGAGATATCAAGGAAGCTATAGGGCTATATATTATTATTCACCCTTACTTTAGTAATGAGGTCGCGCTTAAGTACCATCTTGTGAAACGTTTATTGAAGTCGAATCATTCGTCTGGACCAGCCTCGATCGTTATGGAAAAGGAGATTTTGTGGTACGAACCAAAACAAAAGCAAATTGGTTATTCATATTAATATATTGTCCCCATTTTTATCGTTATAAGTAGATATCATTATGCGCTGTGTTTTACCAAGCTATTTTTGTTTAATTTGTAGCACATGTAACAGGTGTATATCTCCGCATATCCTGGAGTTTATTGTTTGAGTTTGTAGAGCTACATATTTAGAATCATATTTGATAAGAGGCCTTAATCGCTTTAAAACTTACCGTATAGGTAGTATCACAGATCTGATTTATGAAGTGTACAGTCTTGGCTGCAGGTGCGAATATACTTATGATGAAAATTTGGAAACATTAATCGTGCACTGTAAAGAATATTGCTTGTGGCTGAAAAATACTTTCTCCCATAAAATTATGATTCAAAATTATAATACCGGAGTTACAATACTGATATCATATCATTCTTAATGGTTGTCGTCTGATTAGTTATTATATTGTTTATGGGCATATCTGAAATGAACAAGATAACAAAAATGTATGTATGTAGTCGGGAACATCAACACATAGATTGTTTAAATTTCGGTTAACCTTTATCATAGTTTTATTTATATTTTCAGTAAAATAAAAGCTCGAAAAAGTTAGAAGCAACCAATTGCCCAAACACGGTATCAATGGTTTATTAACTACGAAATTGACATAGACTGAAAACACAACTAGAGATAGAACCCCAGATTATGCTTCACAAAATAGGGTACCGGAGAAGTTACATGGAGAGGTACAGTAGTAACTAAAGTCGTGATTTTCAACCTTTGTAGTATAGTAAGTAACAACGGAAGTGTCATAAAAAATTGAAGTCGACGATATTCACTTTGGCTATGTGACTGTATTAAGCAAATCGACAAATTGAGGAAATGAATATTGTCAAATATTAAGTTTTATTTGGAGCATATGATATAATTAAAATAACCACTAAGATTTAGGCACTGTATGCTTGAACATTAACAAAATGCATACTGCTCTGGTGTGGTCCATTTCCGACTTATGCTACAAATGTCAACAAATCTCTGTATCTGTAACTGGATCAACAATTTACCAATACCTTTGATATTACTTCATACACATTAAACTTTCACGGACAGAGAAATTTGTATAGTCGTAATAACGCGCTCTTAGTGGCGCAATTCAAATCGAATATTTACGTGCAGATGTGAAAATTTTGCGACTGGATTAGAGCACTGCGTTGAAAATCAGGAAATGATAGTTTAAAACTATCGCGATTTAGCCTACTGAAACCAGAAACACGTCAGTTGCTCAAGTAGTGTTGGCAGGTACTTTGGCAGTGGTTCCTGTATTTACCCTATGTTTGTGTATTTCAATGGTGCATTACTGCAACTATGTAAAACTGTCTTTTACTCTTCTTCTTTTATTAATTTCTACTTTTTGTCAATTCTTTAAAAAAATGTTAACAATGGCTGCAACCCGCTATCAAAAAAATTCCTAGCTTCCGAACACAACCGTTACTTTGAGCTGTGAATCTATACGATTCTTTTGTCTCAAAACCGATAAATCTGAAGACGATGTTTTAAATAGAAAACTGTCAAATTTATTTAGCTAATGTTATTTAATATTATGTTTAAAGTATATTCTTCATAGTTTAAATGTCACCCCCTGGCCACACATTTGCCCTGGTGCCTATGAAAGCTGTCAAACTCAAAATTACCTTGTCATATATTAGTTTAACTATGTTACTCTTTCGCATACAGTGAGATTAAGTGTAAGAGTAGCCATTTGGCTAAACTTCGCCACACTGATGTATGTGTATTAATAAAGACATTTACTATTATTATTATTATTACCATATATAGTCTTATGACGTAATGAATACTAAAACAAAATAAGTTATTTTTCTTAGCTGACGTTGGATACCCAAATACTGTATATTCACCTACAAACAAAATTGCTGTTTGTGATGCTTTTTCTTAAATGAAAGTTACGGATCCGGAATATCTGATGCAATGTTTCAAAGGATGTAGCTTATGACTGCAGAAACTTTCGTGGAAATCTTACTTGATTTTGATATTCCTTTATGGCTTCCCGAGCTATAATTTGCTATAGTGGATCGCTCTCTTTACAGGTCAGTGACTTTCGCACTAGCCTTGCCCAGCAACAAAGTTTCGCACAAGCGAATTAAATTGTTCAATAAAGACTGAATAGATCGATTGAGAATGCTTGGCACTGTAGGCTAGTTTGTTTGTAGAACACTATCTTCAGCAACTTTAGAATATTTAAGTGATATTTCTTTTCAAACGAAACTTGTATTATCGTTCACATAATATAGTTATAACGTTTTGTGTCATTTACGAAATTTTGCTACACCATGATACCGGCCATGCAACGACGTTAGGTACCTACGTAGTACTTTATTTGAATCTGTAATGTCCAAAATAGTTTTTTTCAAATATGTAACTCCATCGTCTGTTAGGACATCAGATATCTAATAAGCTCTCGGATCAGCAAATGAAAATTTTATCGTTTAAGTTACGCAAAAGGTAGTCCTATGGCAGAAGTTGCAAATTTAAAACATACTCGTATAACTGTTTGAAAATGGTAGATCCGAAGAAAAGCACCAGCTTTTCCAGTGGTATAATAGAACTCAATCATTATTTTTGCGAACAAAAACTGAACAGTTAGATGTAAGTCAATTCAATTGTTTGGACAGTTTTTATATTTATTAGAAATTGAACGCACGATCGATTAGAAAAATATTGTTACTGGTTTTACGTTCAAAATAATGTTCAGCTCTCATACATAATATCCCAAGAATGAGCTCAAAGCGTAGTCATATAATGTTATACATATAGTGTAACTGTTTTGACTTCAAGAAGTAAAGAAGAATGATTTAACTTGATTTATCTGATATGTTTATGGGTAAAAATATGGTATTTGGATTTGTCTTCATATTCATTACGTCACATGACCACGTGATATGTGATATATATGACAGGCCAATAATATTTTGATTTTGACTGCTTTAATAGGCACCAGGGAAAAATGTGTGACTAGAGGGGGTTCATTTAAACTATAAAAAGATACTTGACTTGAACATGATCTACCATCAGCTAAATAAATTCAACAGTTATACGACTATATTATAAATAACAAGTCTTTAGTTCCGTCGGGTTTCTAACAAGAGAATCATATAGATTAAGAGCTCCTAGTGGTAAACTGTGACAGATGAAATTGTTTTGACTTTAAGAAGTAAAGTAGAATGATTTAGCTTTGTTTATCTAACATGTTTTTGGGTGAGTATACGGTATTTGGATTTTCAGTTTTATCTAAGGCAGATATCTTATTCTGTCTTCATATTAATTCCGTCACATTACCACGTGATATGTGATATATATGACAGGCCAATAATATTTTGCTTTTGGCTGCTTTAATAGGCAACAGGGGAAAATGTGTGGCCAGAGGGGGGTGGCATTTAAACTGTGCAAAATATACTTGTCTTGAACACGATTTAGTTCCGTCGGGTTTGAAACAAGATAATCATATAGATTAAGAGCTCCTAGATCCTCAGTGGTAAACTGTGAAAGATGAACTTTTTTTCGTAGCGGATCGCAGCCGTTTCTTTTATTGTATATATTTTTCATTGTGAAGAAATGATAAAAAATATAAAGTAGAAAGCAAAAAAAAACATATCAGAGAAGTGACACCAGGGTAGCGACAAAAACGTACGTGACCTCCAAAAAAAAACCTGAGATATATTAATTATTAAATTATTGTATGTAATTCATAGCTTTTGTTTTGAGGTATCGTTGTTTTTCACATAGTTGCGGTAACGTACTATTGAAATACAGGACGGGTGTTGAATATATATATATATATATATATATATAACTTGAGACGTGGTCATTGTCGTCTAGACCAGTTATATAGACATATAGTATATATATATATATGTCTGTAAGGATACAGTAAGTTTTCTGCTGGAAGACTTGGCAGTATAGTTAAGGAGTTAGTTGGTGTGTTAGTTATTATCAACGTTTCAGTATTTAAGTCATCCTTCCTATATACATAATCATATAGATGTATTAGGCACTTTAGCAGTCCAAAGAGAAGTCTCTAAGAGTTGTTTAGATTAAATCAATGTTTCTGCCTGTTGAAAAGGTAAATAAATTTCCATGTAG